TACTCTGAATAAACTTGCTTTCACAATAACAACTGAAGTCAAAGAGACCTTAAATAAAAAAGGGTTGGTTTACAAATGTATTTCTTTTATTGGTGATAATTGCAATACAAACTTAGTAGTGTTCCCAAAAAATCAGGTGGTAATGTGTTTTCTTATCTCAAAAATGATTTACTAGATGTTGTTAGTGTTGGTTGCCCAGCACATGTTCTCAACAACTATATTCATTATGATGCAAATGACTATTGATGTTGAAAGTATTGCATATACTATTTATCAATATTTTAACATTTATACAGTTAAAACAGAGCTTCTAAAAGATTATTATACCTTAGTAGAAATTCAGAAAGATTCTGTCTCATAGTAAAATAATATATTTATCATTCTTATTTGGTCTAACCAGGTTGATACAAATGTAGCCTCCTTTGAAGCCATATTTTTTGTCCATGATGAACTACCCAAAGATATTAAATAATTTTTTGAGAATGAAATAAGTAAAGTGGCATAACAAAAGTAGCAGCAGGTTTTAATTCAACATTGCAGGCCATTGAACTTTTAATTTTTGTATTTTTTTTTTTTTTGCAGTCAAATATTTGTTATGATTTTTAATATATATTAAATTAAATGTTTTTTAAATTTTTCGAAGATTGTAGTTTAAAGTAAAAATTATTAAAAAAATAAAAATTTAACTATTTGAAATGTTAGATTTGAACTGCTAGATTTGAAGTCCAATTTTAGACAGAGTTGGGCTCTTTTCGATTACTTTAGAATAGAACGAGGGTTGTATTCTAAAATGTTAGAGGAAAAGAAAATAATGTAAAAAAAAAGGAGTAGTTTGGGAGTGTGTCATTTTTATTTTATTATAGTGCATTTTAAAATAATGAAAATCACTTACTAAAATTTTTTTTATTTTTTTGTCTATAAATAAACAAAATTAAAAAATAGAAGCAGTCATTGAAATCGCTTGCTTTTCTTTTTACTCAGTCCTAGCATTTTACGCTTGTCAATTTTTATTATAAAATCTATTTTACTAATAGTTGTTTTTAGAATTTTTTTTTTTCTTTGAGTTAGAATAATATTTTGTTTGAAGGCATTAAAAAAAATATATTGATTATAAAAATTAATAAAACAAAAAAAGAAAGGTATAAAAACTAAATTTATTTTTAATGTACCCTGATGTTGTACTAATAAATTCTTTTAAACTCTTTACGCTGTATTTTTTATGTACTTGCTTCAAACATGAAGGAAAAAGACAAGTAGCACATAAAAGTGTACTCTGAAATATAAGATGTGAAACAAAATTTTATAAATGTGAGATGATGTGAAATTAACTATATATATATATATATATATATATATATATATATATATATATATATATATATATATATATATATATATATATATATATATATATATATATATATATATATATATATATATATGATTTTTTTTAAAAAAGCAAAAAAAAAATTAATGTTTTCTCAAATATTTTTTAACTTTATTTAAAATATGTCAAATAATAACTTCAATTACACAATATTTGTCATTAAAAACAAAATTAATAAAACAGTTAGGCTTCTAACAAAACTATGGAATTAGTAAAATAGGAAAATTCAACTTTTTTATAAAAGAATGGTAAAATTGAGTATGTTTTCTAATTTTTTACATCTATGTTGTTTAATATAGAATGCTTTATGCAATTACATTTTCCCTTGATACAACTAAATAGAAATTCAATCAGTTTTAAGTATAATATTCATTTTTAATACTTGGTTGCATATATTTTTGCATCAATAACCGCTTGGCATCTGTGGGGCATGCCTTTAACTAGTTTTGGTCATTGTTCTGCTGAAATATATAGTTTCCATCTGGAAATAGATGTGTTATATTAGGTTTTAATTATTGGTGAACTAAAGTATAATGTTACTTATGTTGGTCCATAATTCCTTCAACTCTTTGCAAGTTTCCCACTCCATGAGCAACAAATGCACCCTAAACCATGATTTTTTTGTCATGTTTTACTGTGGCACGTGTCCACTCTGGATTATATGGATCACCTTTTTTTTTTAGATTCTTCCTCAATTTCCATATTGTAGCACAAAAGGTGATTCATTTGTCCACATGACATGTTTCCATTGATCTGAAGTCCAGCTTAAATCATCTTTGCACCATTTTTATCTCTTAACATAATTTTTCTTGTTTATAAAAAGCTTTTTTGTTTGCCACCCTGAAGTAAACTCTTCACCTTTCTTTATTCTGGCAACAATTGTATTGTTACGTAAGTGTTCAAGGTATAAATTTTGCTTTAACTGACTCACTGATATCCTACAATTCTCCATCACTTCCCTCACAATCAATCGATCTTCTCTTTCTGTTGATTTTCACTTTCTTCCTGACCCTTACTTTTTGCTAATTGAATTTTGAGAAATAAATCTTGACACAGCTCTTTGAATTGTAGATTTACCACACCCAGCTTCTTCGGAAATTTTACGCAAAGATGACTTTGCATTTTGCATTTGAATTAATCTATCTTTATCAAAGTCTGAAACATGTTTTTCCTAAATTAGTAAATATGAATTTTTACTGATAAACAAATGATATAATTCAAACTAAATGCTAAAATACTATAAGTATGAATATCTTATTCCTATTTAATGGTTTAATTTTTGCAGTAGTAGAATCAAAAGTATCTTTGCCATTGTTGTCATTTAATTATATTTTCTAATTATATAAAATTGCTAAAAAAATTAGTTTAAATAAAATAATATGAATTTTTTTTTGAGTGATGAAGATATGAAAAGTTAAAAACAACTTTACTTTGCAAAAAAACAATATAAAATCACATTTAACACTTTATAATGAGGAAAACTTTAATGGGAAATATAAAATATAATGTTAAAGATGTCCTTTTTTCACCTGTTGTTAATTCAAGGGCCCACCTCCTTTTTTTTCAATTTCTTTTGATTTTAAACATTAAAATACTGTAAATATATTAAGTATCTAACATTAAAAACCAAAAATTTTTAAAAATTTTATGGTACAATCAACTTTTCTTTATTATAAAATATTTTTTCATTTATGTTAGTTTTCTAACAATTCTGCGGTTCAGTTGAATTTTAAAAATTTAATCAATTATTTTTGCTTTTTTATTAAATAGTATATTCATTATTTGTTCTAATTTTATAATTAAGAAAAAAAATTTTAAAATAAGTGATACAACATTGATTTTTATGACTTTTAACAAAAAAGTCATGCTGTCCTTTTTTTTTTTTTGAGGACACTGTATGATGTAATTGATGTGAGTAAAATATATATGATGTGGTTAAGTATATAAAAAATAAATGATGTAAATCTACGTGAATCTATAAAAATCTATGTGAATCTATAATGATAATCTATGTGAGTCTCTAATGTGAATCTATGTCAATCCATAAAAAGTATATGATGTGAATAAAATATATATGATGCAAATAAAAATATAAATGATGTAAATAAAAATATATGATGTGATGAGGTAAAGTAAAAGTTTATATATATATATATATATATATATATATATATATATATATATATATATATATATATATATATATATATATATATATATATATATATATGTATATATATATATATATATATATATATCAGGGTTGGAATTAAAAAACTCGCCCAATAAAACCCAAAAAAACCCGCCTAAAAAAACCCAATAAAACCCTGGAAAATCTGGGTTTTATTGGGTTTTTTTTAAAGATATTTAATAAGTTTATGAACTATTATAACCAACTTTAACATTATAATTATAATATTATTTACTAAAATAACTATTAACTATTATTATGAACTTAATTATTATTAACTATTATTATTAACTATTAAAACGAACAATAACAGCTATCAGAGCAGGTTTACTATTATTTGAATCATTATTTGGAAATACATTATTACAATTTTTATTCAAATATTTTTATCGATTGAGATTTTTATTACTTTATGTTATTCACCTCCCAAGTTGAATTTAAATGAGCAGTAGTGACCAGAGAAGCCAACACAACAGTCGAGGAGGCTACCTTGTTGTGGTTACAACCCTCTCTCAACTCTTACGTGGTAATGGTGTTGTGGTAGAGCGCTCACTTCATAAGTGAGAGGTTCCGAGTTCGATCCCCACCATGTCCCTGGCAGTACCGCGCTCAACTCCTTTCTCTGCGCAGCGGCCTTGTTCGTCAAAGTTCGTGTTTCGGAGTTATAGAGTTGAGAGAGGGTTATAACCACAAATAAGTAGCCTCCTCGCCTGTAGTGGCCTTAAGCCTTGAGGAGGTGAATTGATTTTAAAAAAAAAACTCTTTAACTTGTAAACACGAATCTTTATAAACAAGGCCGCTGCGCAGAGGAACAAGTTTGTTTATTCGAATTTCAATTGAAACTTCAGTTACTACCTCCCATTCTCTAGCCTTCTTTTTCACATTTTCTCATTGATACTTTTAATTATATAGAATAATACTTTTAAATTTAAAATAAATCAATACATATAGATTAAGCGTGAAATTTTTTTTTTCTATTAGTTTTAAATTATATTTAAAAATCTTTTTCAAAATAATTTGAAAAACTCTTGTTATAAATAATTAAACAACAATATATAAAATATATTTTAAATAAAATTTTAAAGTAGAAAAAACTAATTTTCAATATCATGAAACAAAAACACAAAATTTTTTTTTACAGAGACAAAATCAAAATTAAACCCAAAAAAACCCAAAAAAACCCACTGGGCCGGGTTTTTTTAAAAAAACCTGGGTTTTTGCCAACCCTGATATATATATATATATATATATATATATATATATATATATATATATATACATAACAAACAAGGTTTGTTATCTATAATTATATTTATCTAGAAACTTTTTTGTTTTACATTTATGTTTTAGAATTACTTTATGGTTTAATGTTATGTATGCATTACTGTTTTTTATATTTCACATATAGTTAATGCATTTTAGAATGAAAGTACATTCAATGAAATCAAAAGTCTAGTATTATCTCACAACTATGAAGAGTTAGAGAAAAAAGTTTTAACAAGACTAGAATTTGGAACAGCTGGTTTGTATTTTTTTTTTTTATGTTATTTTATATTGTAAATTTAGTTTCTTTATTAAGTTGTAAATTGTCTGAGTATAAAATAAGTGAGATAAGTCTCAATATGATGGAGATAAGTCTCAATATGATGGAGAAGATGTTTTCATTTGTGGCTTGTTACAAAATCTCCATATTTGGATGGCAAGTAACAACTTTAAAATTTTGTAAAATAAGTAATTTTAATGACATTAATGATATTGTTGTTGTTGTTGCTGTTGTTGTTATTTTTGTTGTTGTTGTTGTTGTTGTTATGACTTGACTATTAGTCAAAAAAAATAATAATATTAAAAAAAATCTTAACAGTATCAATTGATGAAAATTAAAACATTAAATACTTTTTTTAACCAATAAATTTGCAATTGTTTTAACAATCGAATGAACTTTTTTTTTTAATCAATCAATTTGCAATTATTTTAATGAGATGAATCACTTTTACCCATTTCACAGTGGCTTGTAAATTTTAATTCCAACAAAACTCAGTTATTTACTGCAAATAACTATCACAGTACAGTCAACATTCCTATATTAATGAATGGCAATTCATTAATATAGGAATGTTGACTGTACTGTGATAGTTGTACCCTCTCACTGATACCCTCTGTTAATACCCTCTGTTGATACCCTCTGTTAATACCCTCTCACTGAATCCTTCTTATATCTTCTTGGATTATCGTTTCCTACTGACCTTTCATAGAAACCATATGTACAATCGATTGCTAAATTAGCATCTTCTAAGGTTGCTTCTCTTATCGTGCTTGGTATTTTCTTTCACCTGAGTCCAATGTCTACCTCTACAAATCTCTTATTCGTCCAAAAGTGCATTGTAAATGTAGGCTCTTTCCCATCATTGTAAAGTTGCATCTCTTTCTTTTTTCTACAAATATTATTATGGTCGCTGCTCAAAGTAGTTACCATATCTAGTTCCATCAACTAAAACTCATTCTCACTTGATTCGTCATTCATCTAAGTCTCATTCTTTTACTGTATCTGTCCCTGCATGCTCTAAAAATTTTTATTCATTCCCTGCACTTTAACTCTTAGGAACTCTCTCCCATCTTCATGTTTTCCTGACTCACACAACTTTTAACTTTTTAAGTCTTGTGTCAACCGTTACCTTAACACTTCTTTTTTTCTAGTAACAGTGGTTGCTTGCAACCTTGTTGCGAGTAAATCAAAATTAAAAAAAAAATCACAAGCTGGTTTTTGACAATTTTTTTTAATACCATAAGTGCAAAATGTTGCATAGTTTAATGAACACTAACCAAAAGTTAGTGTTAGACTTACTCATGGTTTGATGACCATAACCATGAGTTAGTTTTACACTAACTCACGGTTTGATGTTCTTTGTTAGTCTTAGACTAACTATTGGTTAAATGTTTTTAAATAATATGACTTTAACTACAAAATGACAATGCAACATTTATGACAATAGGCTCTATTAATTTGTTTTGTAACTATATATTATAAGTATAGGTTAGTTTATTTTTAACTTAATTATACATGTACCTGAGTGTCCCCTAAGTGTACCTAGTGTATGCATATATCTCAAATGTACCTAAGGGTTATTTATGGTTTAAACATTGTTAAAATCATGAATTTAATTTATTAATGTATTTTTAAAAATCAATATAAAAATGGCTTAACTGCAGTATCTATCACACCATCTATATGCCTCTCTTATCATTTACCATCATTAAAAAATATTTTTAAAATTATTTAACATAAAATCAGTCTGATCATGATTTTAGGTATATGTATATATATGATCTACATAAAAAAATATAGATAAATATAAGGATATTTAAAGCATGTTTGTTGTTTAATTGTTATAATTTTTGTCAGGACTCAGAGCAGCTATGGGTGCAGGATTTTCTAGGATGAATGACTTGACTGTTATTCAAACAACACAGGTATATTGTTTTATAATGTATAGAATAAATATAAAATAGGACAAATCAAATTTATTTTTTTGTTTTAGTTTTTATTGTCTGTTAAAATTTTTGTTTTAGATAATTTAAACAATTTTTATTTTCAGGGTCTTTGTGCATATCTTTTTAAAGAATTTTCTAACTTTAAATCTGATGGTGTAGTTATTGGTCATGATGCCCGTCATAATAGTCACAGGTATGTTGTGATATGGTATATGATATCATATACAAAAATACAAAACAAAGCAAAAATACTAAACGTTTCGTGTTTTTGCAGTATCTACTTATAAAGGAGATTTGTTTGAGCAATTTTGTGTTATTTTTAAAAAGTTTTTACTTCAATATACATTTTTTTTTTACTAAACTTTTTTCCTTTTTGTCTTCGTTTATATATATATATGAATATATATATATATATATATATATATATATATAT